CATCAATAATTGTAATATTTTAATGACAGGGAAATGAGTGCTCCTCTAAAAATAGTCATTAAAGAACTATTCCAGGTTTAGTCCAAGTTAAACTCAGTAGACGGCAATTGTGGCATATTGTTAATTACTAAAAAATGATTTCCACTTCCAAAAATGTGGGTTACACTTGAAGGAGGCCGATCTGTTAATGTTACAATGCTTGTAGTTTACTAATTTATTTTCTACAAATTGACCCTGTTAATTCCATTGTAAATTCTTCAAAATAATCTTGATATTTGCAACTTTTTTATTTATTTATATATTTATTTGTTTATTTAAGAAAATGAGGGACTAAGATTATGCTAGAAATGCTGTTGAACTTTTACAGAACCCTGGAATATTCCTTCAATAGCAAGCAGGCAAGAAACTTTTCATGATGGGTGGCAAACAAAACATCCAGAATGCAGCTAATACCCATTGTTAAACATCAAGAGATCATTTTTAAGTAATAATGAAAAATTATAATAGTTTCTCAGCATATGCTATTCAGAGGAGGAATTAAAATGAATATCAGACTGTTCTAAAATCTTTGAACCCTGTTAAAATCACTAACTTATGGAAGCCTATTTCTGACACATAAGAAAAAAAAGTGCTTTGGTATATCAAAATTATGAAATCAAACGTCAAATTGAAATTATGACAAAATGTCATATTTATGAGATGTAATAATTATGACATACTGTAATAATATGACATAAAAAGTACAAATTATGATGACCTACCTATTATGACCTAGTCATAACTGACAAAAAGTCAAAATTATGAGATGTTCATAATTATGGCAAAAGTCATAGTTATGACATAAAAAGTCAAGTCAAAATTATGACATAAAAAGTCATATTTATGAGATAAAAAGTAAAAAAAAAAAAAAATATGACCTACCATGTCATAATTGGCAAAATTTTATGACAAAAGTCATAACGGCATAAAAAGTCAAAATTATGAGTCTAAATCTTTGAAATAATTCTGATTTTTTTTTTCTTTCATAATTTTGACTTCCTATGTCATATCTGCATGTTATCATTTTTTTTGTTGTAATTATGACTTGTCCTTATAAATGATTTTTTTATGTCAGTTTTGACTTTTCATTTTATAAATATGACTTAAAATGTCAAAATGTCATCCTTTTATGTCATAATTGTGATCTACCAAAGCATGTGTTTTTTTCTTACTGTTTGTGGATTTCCATAGTAACTCAAATAGGTTATTGCTTATTGTTTTTTTTTTTTAAAGTGCAGCATCAGAAATATGATTCAAGATGGCAGAAACTGAAAACATTAATCAGGTCCGTTACAGATTACATGCAGACCATTCTACCTGAATAAAAGCGTGAGGCTGTTAGTCCTTACGTGAAGCTCATTTCATCAGTGAATGATAATGAATGTATTGTGTGTGGTTTTTTAATCCATGGTACGTACTTGTTAGGTCATAGATGGACTAATTTCACGTCAGGGTGACAAGAATTAGCAGACTGTAGTCTTTTTTATAGTCAAGTCAAAGTTTAATTTGATGTATTCTTTGACGTTTTTTGTCAGATTATGTTTATATGTACTCTAGGTTAACACCTAAAATGTAAACAAACAATAAAAAGGTATCATTATGTTGTATAAAAGTTTCACTTGTCCAATTCCTCTACCCACAGATTTAGAGGACTTTTTTTTTTTAATGTTGTATTAAATATCTTTTCCAGTAAATGATAACAACAGAGCATATGAACATACACACATCTCATCATTTCTTCATTTGGACACTCTAGGAACCTCCACATGAATTAGACTATTTCTGCCGTTTTGATGAAGAAATAATGTCAGAATAGCAATGTTTTGTCAAGAACAAAGCAATACTGAGGTACAAAAACTTTAAGAACAATTTCTTATGTCTGGTCAAAAAGAGTCAAACTGTGTGTCAGACATGAGGAATTTGACTTTTGTCTTTGACTAACTTTCTTTTATATTTTTTAAAAGATTGTGTATGTGTGAGTGAGTGAGTGAGTGAGAGTGAAAGTGAGAGAGAGAGAGAGAGAGAGTGTGTGTGTGCTTGTGTTCAATGTTGTGACCACCAGGTGGCAGCCGTGTACGAGCATTGAACGCCCACCTACCTAACATGTGAGAACTCTTATGACAGTCCAGGAAATTTCGTTATAATGCTTCTGAGAAGTTAAAACGTGTCATATTATGTTTTATAAGGACTGTCATCTATTTTGAGAAGTAACATAACAGTAGACAGCAGGATTGACATAGTTAAGAGTTTACTCTGTCTGCGTTGAACGCCATTTTGGCTCCAGTTGCCTTGACAGCAGGCCTCACTTTATGGCTCTGTGGAGAATCTTGAGAGAAGTAAATTTGCATTATTTGTTCATATCTGTACTGTTGTGTAAACTCGGAAATGTTGTAATTAGAATGTGCACATGATTGACCAAGCCTGGTCGTGTTTAACAGTGGGAAACTAGTTATGGTGTTGCAGGGGGCGTGTCTACATGAAAGATGGCGGGAAACAAGTCTGCATGGAACCTATGACTGTGTGATTTCAGCAATCTTATAAGATCATTATCACTCTGTGTGACATGGATCTGATAAACTTGGGTACGACATGTATGCAGACTGTAAGATGATGATGACACTAGTGATGCAAGTTACTATTGAAGAATAAAACGTCATCAGCATACGCTATAGTGGTGAACAAAAAGAGCATGACGAATCACAGTTTGGCAGTTTTTACTTTTTATGTGTGCCGAAAAAAAAAGGAAGCTGCAAGAGAGGAAGGGAAAAGAATTTGAGCTAAGAAGTTTTAGGTTTTAGCGCCATGTCGCGTTGATCAACAGGCCATTTCATGTTGCAATTTTATTGGCTGGTCAGTAGACGTAGGTCGTTGCAGCAAAACACACTGTGCATGATCATGCTGAATTTCTGAAATTATAGCAGGCTGTCTTTGTTCGCAAGACCTTTTTGAACCTTTCTCACTGTACGACATAGGACCACCGTTTTTGGAGCCGCGATCACAGAAATCGCCACGGTTGTTTAACGATGCCAATCTTTCGTTTTTTTTGTAAGTTCAAATGCATTTTTTTTACCATGTCAATAAAGAGAAATGTAATAGTAACTTTATGTTTAGATATAATTTAAAATTAACGAAAATTTAAATGAAAGAAGCTGAATGGCAGCATAACACCATTGTCATTGTAATATATATATACAAACACATACATATATATAATCCTGGAATGATACTACAACTCGAACCCTCTCAGCTTCCTGCTTTCCATATTTGGAACATGCAGAATGATTGACAGGCAGAGAGTGACTCAAAGTCTTCTGATTGGCTAAATGAAGTCTTCCCATAATGCTTACAGCAGCAGTTTTTAGTTTTTTAGATGCAACTGAATGCATCTAAAATTTAAAAGGCAGCAATATATTTTCATGTATGAAGATCCAATACTTTGAAAAATTAACTATTAACGTTTTCTACTCATTATAATACAGCACTGTTAGATGTATTGTTTATATATTGATTTTTTTAAAAACATTTTACATTACATTTTGATTTATTTAATCACATTTTGATTTATTTATTTGTATTAATTTCTTTTTTTACACTTTTTTTTTTCCCAAACCTTTTCCACAGATCCCAGTTTGGCACATTTAAGACGTTTGAGGTTATTTAAATGAAAAAAATAAATTTAAAAAATCTTATTTTTACATTTTCTGAAGAAATTTTGAGTGATTCATTGTTGTATAAAACCCACCGACTGCGGTTGGTTGCATGTTGCTTTCTGGTTGCAAAGTTGTTCTTGGTGGTTGCTAGGGCATTACTAGATGGTTCCTTGCTGACTCAAGTCGAAAGATTCCTCCCCTCTCTGCAATATTCTGGTATCAGATATGGATCATTCCTCCTTCACTGCAGGTCTAGGACTTTTTCGAACATTTTTCAACTAAAAATCATGAGGCTGATCACCTTAAAGTAAAGTAAAAGCATGTATTTTCAACAAGCTGCATTATTTGAGGAATCATTCATGCCTGCTTTATTCAAATCCCACTAAGCCTATGAGCAATAGGCTAGTAATAGTGATAGGCCTACTTTGCCTTAGCTAATGTATATAGGCCTACTGTACAATTAAAGGAAAGCACTGAAAGTGGAGTTTTAATATTTAGCTAGTCTGTAGTTTGAGTTTGGTTTAAAAAAAAAATAATATAAAAAAAGTTTATATTTGAGGTTAAATTCTGTAAGATTTCACATCGAGGTTCAAATGAACTGTCCACTCATTGTGTAACTTGAGAATCAACAGCGATGGCATCATAGAGATGCATACCATAATACTCTGATGCACATCACCGTGATTACCATATCCGTATTCGGTGGTATTTAATAGTCATGTGACTCTATAGGGGAATTATATCACATCACATTAACAGACATACACACAGTGCATTTAGGTCGATCTACACTGGTAAACGCGCACACACATACACGCGCGCGCGCTCTCCCTTCACCGCCCCCTTCTCTCTCGGTCTCTCTCTCTCTCTCTCCCTTCGTTTTCCTCTTCTTCATCACTCTTGTTTTGCGCGTGTGTGGTATGTGATGTGATACACGGGCTGTAATCATTCCAATGGCTCTCGTCGACCATGGACGATGATTTTGTCTCGGTTTTTCCATTTCACGGGAATGAATATCGCTCCAGCATCGACGCAGTCCATGAGCACAAGGGGGTTTTCGCTTCTTTTGACTGTTGAAGGATATTTTTGCATGTCGAGAGACTGAAGAGACACGGAGAACACGTTCAATGCCGTTGGAACATGTCATATGTTCCCTTTCAAGGTAAGAGGGCTGATGGAGTTCTGCTGCATCCCCCGTGTTCCTCCCTCAGCGTCCTCCTGCGCTAGAGTACCACTGATGCTGCTGCTGCTGCTGATGCTGATGCTCTCAGTGATGCAGGTGGAGGACTGCTGTCATTTTATCGGGCTGTAATCATTCCAATGGCTCTCGTCGACCATGGACGATGATTTTGTTTCGGTTTTTCCATTCGCATCACGGGAATATCGCTCCAGCATCGACGCAGTCCATGAGCACAAGGGGGTTTTCGCTTCTTTTGACTGTTGAAGGATATTTTTGCATGTCGAGAGACTGAAGAGACACGGAGAACACGTTCAATGCCGTTGGAACATGTCATATGTTCCCTTTCAAGGTAAGAGGGCTGATGGAGTTCTGCTGCATCCCCCGTGTTCCTCCCTCAGCGTCCTCCTGCGCTAGAGTACCACTGATGCTGCTGCTGCTGCTGATGCTGATGCTCTCAGTGATGCAGGTGGAGGACTGCTGTCATTTTATCACTCCAAGTCCACACACTTTCTGTGTGCTCGTGAGGGAAAGAGACCCTTCTGCCCCCGTTTTACAATCGGTTTAAGAACCTGCAAACCGTGCAGGGTCTCTATTGCAAGTCCATCCCACTGCATGGAAGCTCACTGGCTAGAGGAATTATCTCTCTCCAATAGTGTGTGTGTGTGTGTGTGTGTGTGTGTGTGTGTGTGTAAGAGAGAGAGAGAGAGATTGCTCAGTACGAGAAATATCCTTTCATTTGGATACTTTTTGCGTCTGTGCTCTGAGTTTTGTGAAGTAGTTGACTGGGAGATGCCACTGCTTTGAAGGGAATTAGTTTAAAGCCATTGCTTCCGTTTGCAACGGTGCATCTGTATCTAATCCGCAATAGAAGGCGCATCAATACTTCAACAGTCACTTAATAGTTTTTAAATCGTGTACTGCTGTTTTATACACTTGAGTGAGGGGCACTGACTATCCATTCATCATTTTTTATTCATTTAATATTAAAAGGCGCTTAAGTGGTTTTGCATTTTGATATTTTATGAGGAGAGAACTTAATATTTTTGAATAATGTCAGTTCAGCTCTTGAATATGAGCGCAGTAGGTTATGCTATTGCATAATGTTATTGAGGACAGCATAAATGGTCGCTTTGAACACTTATATATGATGTGATGAAAAAGTGAAAGATGACTAACTGGGTTAAGTAACTTGACCTCTGTCAGTTCAAAGTCATTTTTGAAAAGTTTGAAAAGTGATTTTTAAGAATGCATGTGCCTGATTTCCACCTAATTTGTTTTAAATTTGTTTAGCAAAGAAACTTTCCTAATATATATATTTTTTCTTTCCTCCTGATGTTTGTTCCATTTGGTAGAATAATTGTTTTGGAGTTGTTGGAACACTTTCAACAATAGGCCCAGTGCCGTATACAATTTTTGACAGGAATAAAAACTAGGCTGTAAAAGTACGGGCGTTCAATGGATTGTAGGCTGTTTTTTGACAACATGCCGAGTGTTCAACTGATTAAACGTATTAACAAAAAACAAAAACAAAAAAAAATAAATTATGTGAAATTGTATGAAAATTAGGTGATTTAGGTCCTTTACAGTGTGTGCCATTGTAAAGATCAATCCCTCATAGCCTCTTTCTGCGGTGTTAAATTCAATATGGCGTCTCAGACTAACTGTGCTAACAGTCTCATCGTGTGAAAATAATACTATAATGCTGACTTCAATACGTTTGTTGTCTGTTATTAATGTCCACAAACATTTTGAAGTGTGTCACTGCATTTTCACAATATGGTCAATATGTAGTTTTGCTGTAAAGACTATCATGGACTCTGTTGGTGTCTTGCTGGTTCTTCATTGGTGGAGAAGGAACACCAGTTTAGTCTCATGTAGCCAGAAACTGACCAGCTAAATATTTCGTTTTGTTGTGCTTTTAAGGTGGAGGTTTACAATACATACATATGTTTTTAAAACAAAAAAGTATATCAAATAATGGTGCTGTAGTCTTTACAAACGGAAAATTTGTATTGACTGGAATGAAAACTGGAAAATACAGCTCTCTACATGTGCACTATTTCCAGGTGGACTGTTAAACAACCTTTATGTCCATAAGCAATGGCGTTTTTGCTGGATTGAGGAAGTTCTTTCCAGTTTCGTGTGTAATATGCATCAGGCATTGAGTAAAGAGAAAAAAAAGTGGCGTGACATGTGGCCAAGTATGGTGACCCATACTCGGAATTAGTGCTCTGCATTTATCCCATCCAAAGTGCACACACACAGCAGTGAACACACACACACACCGTGAACACACACCCGGAGCAGTCAGAAGCAGACTGTAAGTGAGACTAGTGAAGTTCAACAAACTTTTATTTGCGTATTTGCATTCTCATTAGCATAGTCATGATATTGGGCAGAGACCTCATGAAAAAACACTGCAGATGTAGAGCTTACTATGCAATTTTCTCATTATTGACATTTCAAGCTCTTTGATTTCTCTTTCAGGACTGTTTCAGCTACTTTACTCATATTTACTAATATGATTTCCGTAGAATTTGGGATTAGCATGTTGCTAAGATAACTACGCAATACTCGAATAAGCACAACATTACACAGCGCACTAAATTATTGGATTTAATAGTCCATTCCAATTAGATTCTGCATTGTTCTTCAGTATTGAATGAAGTACTACAATATAAGTATCAAGATGATGCCTTAAAATGCAGGATAGGTCACTATTTTTTGGAACAGAGCTTCTGACTCATTTTGGCTGCAGCAGAGCAGAATAAATCAAGTTCACTGTACTCTGGGGTTTTAATATTCACTCTAGGACCACATAAGAAGCCTGCAAGAATCAAGCAAATATTCCCTTATAAAGCCAACCTTATAGTAATTTAATTATACTCAAATGTTTAGCCTTCAGGATGACTTAACAGGCTTCTGTTGAAATGATGGTCTCCCCATTTTGATTGGTTTTTAACTATTCATGTTGCCAGAGGGTCATTTAGGGCCAGAAAACTTAAAGGCAGAATAGAACCAATGATACTGCATTCGACAGTCATTTTCAGTGGTAAAGTTTTTAATGAAGGGGTTTATAGTAAATGTATGAGGCTGTTCAAGTGTTTGGGGTCAATAAGATTTTCTTTTCTTAATAATAGGAAAAATATATATTTTATAATATAAAATTCAGCTTTGATATAGTTATATTAAATTGTAATAATATTTCACAATATTACTGTTTTTACTGTATTTTCATCAAAAAAATGCAGCCTTGGTGAGAATAAGAGACTTCTTTCAAAAACATTTTAAAAAGACATGCCTATAAACATTACGTGATAAATTAGTGGTATTTTATAAGAATCTTGCATTTAAAACGGTGAAAAGTGAAACTACTTTATCAATGCTCTGCACATTGTAATGAGAATAAATGCAGTGAACGAAACATAATTAGTGTTTTTTGCTAAGGCAAGCATCATTTTTATTGTTGCTCATACTCAGGGATAGGGATTTGAACAAACCTCTGCCCTTATTAAACTAAACTCATCCTGTGGTCATGAGATTGTTGAGAAGAGGTGTGCTATTACTTTTGTGATGTGCGATCACTGACGTGCAGTTTTTACCCATAGTCTATAGACCATATTTAGGAACCTAGAATATCATAGAGGAGGTGCAACCATATAATAATGTGCTAAAAACACTCAGAACATGTTAGCAACTGCATAGAAGCGACGTGGCAACCACCCACAACAGCCTGGCATTGTGGCGTGACTTTTGCATTGGTAAGCACCACTTACATTTTGCTCAGAAAATGTAAAAATAGTTGTTTGCATTGTTTTAGTATAGTTAAGAGAAGAATGAAACTGCATCCTGATGCCTTTTATTCTTGTAAACTCCCTGTCAACAGCGTTTCTCTATGAATCAGATGTCATTGCATTATGTTGTGTTAACCTGTTATCACACTTTCCCCCTCTTTACCAGCGTTAAGGAAGCTATTTTGAAACTGTACAGTAGAATGCCAAGCTACAAACTAGTTTAATACTGTCTAAACTGTAGTTTAGTACAGTCAAACCACTCTTTTAAATAAAGTGGCTGCACTGTGTTGCTAACAAGAACTATTTAACCTTTAAGGGAACAATATCGTTTTAAATTCAAAAGATTATTTTAATACTTTTATTCAGATTTTAAAATGTTCTAATTGCTGAATTTCATTTAATTGGCACAAAAACATCTACATATATAAACTAGGCTGATTGCATTAAATTGAACCACAATGTACACTTTTAAAAATAAAGGTTCCAAAAGTGAGTTTTTGCAGGGTTGCAATAGAAGAAGTATTTTGGATTCCTCAAAGAACCTTAATGTGAACAGATCTTAAAACAGCCATTTTTTTCCTTAGTGTGAAGAACATTTTTATATTCTAGAAACATTTTGTGCAATGGAAATGTTCTATGGATGACTGCCAAGAAAGAACCTGTATTTTTAAGAGTGTAACTGCTAGGATTAGACAACAGGATTTTATTTAACTGAAATGAACACAAACAGTATCATTTAATTAAATATTTCACTTCAGAAGAGAAGATGCGGGAGTTATGTTTGATGCAGTGAATCTCTTATTTAGGTGAACCATCCTAAGCGAACTGATTCACTAAAAGGAATCAGATTTTCTAATGCTGCATATGACATACTTGTGAAAAATCTAGCTTGTTTATAGAAAAACTGGACTATTATGAAACCAGCTAAGCTACATTCCTAAAAATAAAGGTTCCAAAAGGTTGTTTCCGCAATGTTACCATAGAAGAGCCATTCGTGGTTCCCCAGAGAACCGTTCACTATACTGTAAAAAATGATTGTGATTTTAACAGTAAAAGACTGTAAAAATGCTACAGTAAAAACCTGTTAACTGGTTAACAGTAAGTTTCCATACTATATACGGTGAATAAATGTAATTACATTTAATGTGATTTTACAGTAAAATACTGTTAAAAATATGGTTTTTGGAAGTGAAAAAGAAAAAGTAATTGTATAATTTACAGTGAAAA